CCATGCCCTGGCCTCCCCCGGCCGACCCGGCGTTTTATACCTACATGATGAGCCACGCGGCGGCCACCGGCAATTTACCCTACCCCTTCCCGTCCCACCTGCCCCTGCCCTACTACTCCCACATGGGCATCGGACCCCCTCCGCCCCCCCCCGCCGCTCCCTTCAGTACCCCCCTGAGGCCGCTGGACACCTTCAGGGTCCTCTCCCACCCCTACCCGAGACCAGAACTGCTGTGCGCCTTCAGGCATCCCTCCCTCTACCCTACCCCGACTCATGGACTCAGCAGCGCCGGGGGCAACCCCTGCTCCTGCCTGGCTTGCCACAGCGGCCAGTCCAACGGGCTGGCGCAGAGACCCTCCGGATCAGACTTTACCTGTTCGGCCACAACCAGGACTGACTCTTTCCTCACTTTCACGCCCTCTGTGCTGAGCAAAGCCACCTCAGTTTCCATGGACCAGCGAGAAGAAGTTCCTTTAACGAGATAAGCATTCGTCTCAGGGTTATTAAAAACTCGCCCCTTTCCCGGGCTTCTCTCCCAGTCAATGTACCTACAGCCGATGTTTATTTAACCGTGTTCTCTCCCCAGAAGCGGACACCTACGGGAAAAAAAAAAAAAAAAGACTAAAAATAGCTCAGTCTTAAAAGGATTTACATTCCAAGGGGGAAAAAAGAAGGAGGAAAGGAACGACTAGCGATTTATCTCTGAGAAGGATTTTAGGCGCGGAAGAGGAAGCAAACCAACCCGAATGACCTATAGAAATGAGCTGGGACTTTCTTTCCATGGATAGACTTCTTACCAAGGGGTTGGGGCTCCTGCGAGTCACAGCAACAAACCTTATGCACAAACCTACGAGACGGAGAAGGCAAATCTGAAATACTTGAAAGAAACATTATCCTGATAACGAAACGGCTTGTGCGCATGAAGAAGCAAAGATGTAACCTACCAGAGTGTTCAGAAAATAAAACCAACGGCAAACAGCAAAACCAAAAGGTTTCTGGATTGCAACTCGACAGTATTATCCAGTTATCTCTATAGAGAAAAACAATGCTTTACCATAAAGAAAAACTGTCATTCTGTACATTACTTTCGTGGTTTAATTGCATTCTTTACTCTCCCTTGTCTCCTCCTCCGTTTCGAGCAGAAATCCAGCATTTCGTCTCCTCGTTCATTCCAACTTTTATTTTTAAGAGGCAGACTGGAATTGGCAGGGAAAAAAATACGAGCTCCTGCCTCTTTATGGGTCAGAGCTATTTGTCCTTTAAATAACAATGTCCTATTATCAGTCGCTGAAATGTGCCCACACTGACGAAATTAGCAAGTGATGTATATGTAAGGAGGGTTTTTGAATATCGAATGTATAATGCTCTGTGAGCAGAGACCCCGTGCCAAACGCTAACAAGCCGCCAAGGGAAGAGATTAGGTGACAGGGAGCACAACTCCTTCAGACAACCACCAGCCTGTAAATTGGAGCAAAGGCGATTTCCCTTCCTTTGTACTTCAGCCTTCGCTTCTCTCATTTGACTTTTCCTTGCCGCGCCTTCTTTCTTTCTTTCTTTTTTTTTTTTTTTTTAAGTAATTATTTAATTCGTGCGTGGGGTTTTGTGTTTCCTTCCCCACCCCTAATCTTTGCATTTATATGTGTCCTTCACACTGGTCCCTCTTTCCTTCTCGAGGAGTATTTCTTTCACAAGTCCACCGCCTCCTCTTTCAGGTATTTCGGAAGGAGGCAGTGTCATTGCTTTCGCTTGGACTTCTGTCAACCTAAAATTTAAAAAAAAACCCAACCAAAACAACCCACGGACACCGCGCTGGGTGGTAATTTCTTCCAAAACCGGAACTGTTTATTTCATTCTATTTTGAAATAGCCCAAAGAATACACTGTCATAATTTGTTACAACAATAATAACACCAACAACGATAGTAACAACAGACATATTTTAACAACACGTCACCCATATTTTTATTGTGCTTGTTTAAAAAAAAAACAACAAGTAAAAGTGTTGCTTCAGACGAATTCCACCTTCGTGCAGTTTCTAATAGTTACAGTTCAACAAGCAGGAAAAATAAATGCTGGACGGAACAAAGACGCGTTGACACCTCCGCTATCTACTTTGTGTTAAATTGCTGAGGAGCCCCTGGTTTATTGTCACACCGGAGACTTTTTGTCCTTAGGGCAGGGAGTGAATAGCAGCGGTTCCCTATAGCGGATGGAGAGCAGGGAAGAGACACGGGCGTGCCAGGATGTATTTTTCCAATCAAAAAAAAAAAAAAAAAGAGAAATTTGTTTGTTAGAGCTTTTAAAAAACCGATCCAAAGTCACCATCTTTAAATCATTAAGGGCAGATTGTTCCGCCCTTTCTGAATGAGATGTCCTCATGGACATGGAAACCGATGGCCCTTTTTGGACACTCACAAATAGATTCCCCCCCTCCCTCCCGCCCCAATCCCCCCGGAAATAACAATTGTAAACGGCGTCCAAGGGCAGCGCCGAACAACATCCGAGCTTTGCAAGCCTTTCCCCTCCTCACTTTGTCTTTTAGCAGGCGGGAGAAGAACGAGGCCGACAAAACGGGGAGCTGCGGAGCGAGTGCCTGAGACACCCCTCCCTCTCCCCTCCACCCCGACCCCGGGGGACGGGAGCGCTGAAGAGGCCGGGGGGGAAGCTGAGGGCTGCCCGGCAAAACCGGGGGGTCCTCGATGGCCCACGGTCCGTCCCCCCGGCCCTGCCCCGGCCGGG